CGAGGCGTGCAGAGGATTTGGGAGGCCTGCAGAGTGCAAAAACTTTTTTTAAAAAAATTGCCTCTTCAAAATCATGGTGTGTCTTATACTCCAGTGCATCTTATAGTCCGAAAAATATGGTAATTGCACCAAGGAGGAATAAAGGAATAAGTTTCCACATTCTCCCCCTGCCTCCCCCTTGTCCCATATTCCACCTCTGTTAGTCAGGCTATTTTTGAATACTGGTTTTAGTGGTATTTTAGCAGAACACTGGTCCATGATCAAAAATAGCCCAATTAGCCAGCCAGTATGTGAAGCTTCAAGAAGCTTCAGGACAACTCCCTCTTGCTTCCTGCATCTTAGTACCAGCCACCTGCTAGACAATTTAACAGGAGGGTAAATCCATCATTTGGGGCATGAGTCTCGTTTCAGCCCATCTTGACCCATCCCATATTAGGAAGAAGGAAATGGTTGATCTTTCTACCAATAGATAATATGTGTGAAAGGGGAAACCAATCTTTTAAAAAGCACCATTCTGTTTCCTTAACTTGGCTAAGAATACATAAAAATAGCTTCCTTCTCTGGCTTTATTTTGGATTGGTCATTTAGGTTAATGTAATGTTCTGCTGGCTGAAAGACTAGTGGATAACATTAACTCAGCCATCTGTAAGCTGAGTTATAGCAATCTATTGATATCTTTTAAATAAAGTTAATTACAGATGCATATGTAAAATAATACATATACAAACATGATAACACAATATTGGAACTGGGAAAGATGAGCCCCTGCTTTTTACTTGCTGGAAAGGAGTCCAAATGCCGGTATCAACAGTTTGGAAGACAGCTAAGACTTGCTATTGTGGCAAGTTAAAAACTGTGAAAAAATGAACCATTTATTGTCACTAATCTTGCTCACCATTCTATGTGCATTCTCAGTAGGCTCAAAAAGATAAGCACCGGTTGCTGGCAAGCTCTCTGCGAGCTCTACAGACTGTAAATACAATATGTCAACATACAGTATGTACCCTTAGTAATGATCAAATTGCTGAGATTAGTTTTTGATTTTTTTTTTAAATCTAGGAGATGAAAAGAGTACCCTTAAAGTCCATATAATCTTGCTTCACTCCTATAATTTACTAAGCTATAGTTTATTGAATTAATTACAATGGTCTAAGTTCATATAACATGAAAAATCTAAACCATGCTTTTGGTTCATGCAACATGCGGAGCAAACTTCATGCAACACACTGAACAAAAAACCCAAACATATCATATTATAGTTCAGCACAGTATATTAATCTAATGTGATTGTTCTAAGATTCAGTGGTGATCCTTAAGTGGTATTCTGTTTCAAGCACTTGGACCAGAATGAATGTTAGTATCTCATATTCCTAAAGAATCCTGCAGTCATTCTGATAATGTGTAATAGAAGCTTAATAACAATTACTAGTTAGGAATTATTACCCTAAATTTGGATGCAGAAACATCTTATTCATAGTACTGAAGGCGGGGAAATGTTTTTAGATGTGTTGCTTGAAGATCTGAATACCACCCAGAAGCTGTGGTTGTTAATCAGTCTGGAAATGAAATCTCTCTCTATATAAAAATGGCTGTGTGTGTGTATGTTCCAGCACAACTCTGGAATGCTTCAAGCAATTTCAACCAAACCTGGTACTACTCTCTGGAAACAAATACTGTGGGAGGTAAGACACCTCTAAAACCCCTAATGGTGTATGTTCTGTTAAGATAAGCCTGTTGTGCCTTAAAATGACTTCTACTGTACTGCCGTAAATGGATTCTACTGTGCTGTGAAGTGGAGTTGCCATAGTAATGGTTTCACAGTACTCTATAACAGAGTGGGAGAATGTTGGGGGGAAATCCAACATTAGAAATTACGTTTGGTCCAGACATTTCCCCCCTATAAATAAATACTCTGGCAACGCCGAATTATCCACTAGTAAATAAATATTACACAGATTCAGTGTTGTACAGGTAACCTTGTTTGAGCATTCCTACTGAAATTAAAGCCCAGTTAGAGATCATATTCCATTCATGAGATGTGCAAACATGTCAATAGCATTCTGCTATCTCCTAAATGTTCTGGGCAGAAAGATCTTCTTCCCTATTGTTTGTTTATTTTAAACTTTTAATTCTTTAAGAAAACTTTGTTGCTTATAGATGCTATAAAGAAACATGTATCAATTCTTAAATAAGCTCAACAACCCTGATAGAGGCAGAACAAAGCAAAGCTGAGAATGAAGCATAATAAAACTGGGATGCCATGGTCTCTCTGGTGTCACTGACTATTGTGCTATAGCAACCTGTGCAGTCATTAATCTTTAATACACCTTTTCACTAGCCTACAGAAGGGACAACCAATGGAATATTGGAGCAACAAAAAGTAACCAGATGCCACTGATCTCCATTGGTGAAAGAAGAAAAATAAAAACAGCTTCTTTCTATAGAAGCTTTTCAAATGCAGAAGTGTTTAGCTTTCCATTGCATTTTGTCTTTCATTTTTGTCTAATTATTGTTTAAAACTTATTCTTTTATATTTAAAAAATCACCACTATAGAAGACTTCTGTTTCAGAAGCAGGTATGTTTTCCCTCTTTTTCTAGAACTTACCTCTTTTGTATGTATTTGAAGCAAATAATAATATGCTTATAAAATGTATTACATCTGGAATTTTTAACTGCACCTTTGAATGTTTGTATTTGTTTTAGAACTATATGGACAAATCAAGATATGCTCTACCCAGAAATACAAATATGATGCTGTTTTAGTAATAAGGCTTAATATTTTGTATATGAGTTTATTTTATTTATTTCCTATTTTATTTTGGTGTGATATAGAATAGCAAATGTAGAATTCTTATTACCTTTGGTATTGTATATAAGATTAGGAATCTTCGTATATAGTCTTGGGAGTAATGACAGTAATTCTCTTCAGAGTAAACTTAAAATGGATTGGGATACGTGTATAAATAGAGTACCACTGAACTTATCATCAAAATGATTTAAACATAGTTGTCACTTCCCAAATTAAATGAGATATATAGCTTTACTGCATTGTTGTCCATAGTTAACAAACTGTGTTTTAATAGACACACAGATTCTAACTAGAAAAATAACTCTGCAGGCTTCTTGAAATCAATAAAACCAGTGTGAGATTGAAGCTGTGAAACTCAGGGCCATGCAAGTTTAACTGGAGAGAAATTCCACAGATGTTTAGTAGACCTATCTTCCAGGACTGTAGAATGCAATTCTATGCATTCTTAGCCAGAAGAAACTATTGAATTCATTAAGCCTTATGTTTCTGTAGATGTACACAATTTCTGACTGCATTCTTAATTTTCTATCATTGTTGTGTTTGGAATAAAATCTCTTGATTTCAGAATCTCAGATTATGTTGAAAAATAGGGAGACACCATGTTAGCTAAAGCAGTAAATATACAAATATCATAGATGGTTTTATATAAAGTACAATGAATAATACTGTCTTTAAAAGTATCTATCTGATTTTTACTGTTGTGTGTCATTCTGTTGTAGAACCTGTTTCCTCTAATTTCATTGATGGCAACTGTAGCCCCCACGTTACTCAAGTGTTTAGCACATTGAGGATATATTATTCTTAATTAACAGCATACAGTGCAGCCAGCAACTTACTAATTAAGAGACCTGAAATGACCATTAGTCTTTACGATTGGAAAAAACTGATACACATTTTTCTTAATGATATCTTTTAATATTATTTCTCTTGAGACATTAACTTCATCTGGATAAAATCAGTATCAATAAATCATGTGCCATTTTATGTTTGTATATTTGTTTCAAAAATGCTGTTGAGAAAAGAAATGTAAAATGTAATATATTCGTCACTAAAATGGAGAGACTTTTCTTGTTATTATGAATATAAGTTGTAATATTTATTGATTTAAAAAGACAGTAGTAGATAGCATTACATGAGATTTTACTGTTTGAATTTCACAACAAAAATTGCTTTATTACAATCTTAACATCTAACGCAATATAACATTAAAAATTTATAAACCGATATATGATTCTGCTTTTCGCTGACTTATACGATAAAGAAAAGGCAAGGCATTGAATTTATATGTAATTATTTACATTGCCCGACTTTTATCTTTAAAATCAATTAATGGAGCAATTCCCTAAAGTGAAATGCAAGGACAACTTTGCAAAGAACTGGTTGTAAACTTGTGAGATTACATTGTGATCAGCTGCTACTGGCATCCAGTGCCAATATCCTAAGCAGAGGTGGGGGTTGCTCCTGGTTTGGCCCAGATCGGGCGAACTGGTAGTAGTGGTGGCGGGAGGCTCCATCCACCTGCCTGGATGCTTCTGCGGATGCACAGAAGCATTGTGCACATGCACGAGCACAAGCAGACAGGTAGTAAAAAAATTAGAAACCCACCATTGATCCTAAGTATATATGGGCTTGATTTTTAAATATAAAATTATAAGCTACATGCTTGTCCCAAGGGATAAATAAGTAAATAAGCAAGCACGCAAGCAGCCGTACCTCAGATTATTGCTCAGGTTATATTTCTAAATCAGTAACTTTCCAGTCTTAAAATCAAGACAGTCATACTTCTTTGGCACCACTAATGAGATTCAGCAATTAATTCCTTAAATGTCAAAAATAAATGAGATGAAAGATGAAACTGGGAAATATCTTTCAAACTTTGGAGCAATGCATGGAGGGAAAGGAAGAGCTAACCTTTTCATACCATAGCAACGGAATGAGTCAGAAACTGGGGCGGAGCTACTGTGTTTATGGAATGGTTCAAAACCAAACCGTTGCCTATATTTCTGCACACATTTAAGGGCCAAGTGGCTTGCCACATTGTACACTGATCATCTATGTTCCACCGGTCGTGGCATAAGAAATAGAATATGAGATATGGAGCCCTTTCCGAGTTTCCTTAACCAATAATAAACATTTCTTCTTGGATGTCCTTTTTTTTCACATTAGAGTTCTTGAAAATGCATTGATAAGATGGCTGAACAAAGACAGAGAAATTTATCTACATCAGGAGAAGCACTCTATGAACTCCTAGGCCTTGAAAAAGGGGTAGCCCATGAAGAAATCAAGAAAAGCTACAGGTATTTATGAAAATCTAACGTACTTGATAAGTACCCACAGGTTTATTTACCCATTCACATTTGTTTATATCTGTTTATAGATATAAGGCATTATATCAATGCCTTCTTTTACTTTGACCTTTTCCAGAGGTGCTCAGATTATTTTGTCTAGTGTTTGAGGGTTGATGCTTAAGGGCTGAATGTGAATTGACTGCTTTGAGGGCTGGACATGCTTAAATGTTTCATTGTAGGACAATGGATTAGTGTCAGTTATGTTTCAAATCAAATCAAATCAAAAACAAAATGGCTATTGATGCTATGATAATTCACATTTGTTATGAAAACAGTGTTGCAAATGAAAACATAAACCTTATACAGTTACAGGAAGAGCCATTTTAAAAATGATAAACATAGGTGTTAAAAATAGCTCTGCTTTATTTCCTAGACTCTTACATTATTCAAATTTTTTATTTCAAATATGTTTATTATTTTAAAGATTGTAAAAAATCTTAATAACTATTAAACATTTCTTAATTAGAAATCATTAAAATTCTATCTATCTATCTATATGAATTTTAACAATTCCTAATTAAGAAATGTTTAATAGTTAACATGAAATTGTATTAATAAT